GGGGGGGGGGGGGGGAATGGCTAGGGAGGACGTGTGGTGTGAGCGAAAGTGGACTTTACTATGGTCTTTTCAGGTGGAGAGTCTACAAGGAATATAGTTTTCAGTTTGGTGTTGGAATCATAAATCTCTTGCTAACTTAAATAATAAAGTTGTATTTTAGAGAGGAAGAGAGATATTTATTGGAAAATTGAAGGGAGCGTTTACTTTTAGCTTGGAGTCTTTGTATATCCCATGGAAATGAAAATAATTCTAACGTGAAGGGAACGGCATGGGAGTGGAAGGAAGGGGGAGGGGAAGGGAGGAGTAAAAGTGGGGCTGGGGGCGGACGGAGTCAGTAGAACTACCGAACCTTTTTCTATAGGGTGCAACTACTTGGAACTTGAAACTGAGAGTGATTGGAGAAGCGTAAGCGATCGGAGATGGAGACATGTTAAAAAGTAGTATTATTTATTATTATTTGAATAGGAAATTCATGTTGCTGTTTAATTTTTTTTTTTAGTTGGAATGATTTCTTCAATTGTAAGGAAAGTGGGATTTTTTAGCAATTTGTTATTAGTACTATTTATTTATGCACCAAAAATGAGCTGGTCCTATTTTGGTGGAGATTTGTACACAGCCAGCATGAAGAGGGGAATTTTAAAAAATAAATAGAGAGGCAAGTGGAAATAATATAAGATGATCATATATAAAAAACAAGCAAAAAAAAATAATACCAACACATTTAAACCCATTAAGCTGGTGATCTAGTCATTTAATCTGAAATAATAAATTTAAAGAAATTTCAAAACTTAACTCTCAACAAATCAAAATCAAATATTAAAAAATAAAATTAAAAAAATAAAATATAACATAAAAATAATAATTATAAACCAAAAAAACCTTGAGTATGCTTGGGTCAAGGTGTGGGTGTGGTGATGGGGAGGTTATTGTTTTTATGTTTTAAAAATATTTATGAAAAAAATAAAAAAAACTTTATTTTTTTACTATAAATTAAAAAATTCTTAGTATTTTTAGATCATTTTGATACGTAGATATCAAAAATAATTTTAAAATAATAAAAAATATATTTTGATACATTTCAAAGTAAAAAACAATTTGAAAAATAATCATTATCACATTTTTAAATAACATATCCTTCATATGCCCTCTCGAATGTAGATATGGATTATGTTACAAAGGATATCTTAAAAAAATAAAAAATAAAAGACAACAATATTTGAAATATAATAGTGATTGCTTTTAAAAATATTTTTTTAAAAAAAATATATTAAAATAATTATTTTTTATTTTTTAAAATTTATTTTTAACATTAGCATATATATAAAATCATTAAAAAATATTAATTTAAAAATATTTTTTAAATACAAAAACAAAAATAATCTAAATATATTATCAAAGATAATTTCGGGCTAGGATAGGTCTATTATTAAGGATATCAAAGGTGTTGAAAGTAATTGTTAAAGGGTGGTTTTTAGTGGATTATGGATGGCTTAGGTGTTTTGATTGTTATTTAGGATGGTTTTGATTGATTTGTTGAGTGACTTGTTAGGAGTTTGTTTTAATGGTTGGTTGTTGATGTTTTAGAATTTATATGTCTGCTTAGTAGCTTTGGATTCAGCCACCAAACAGGATCCAATAATGTTAAGTCGGACTACTTAATAGGATTCAATAATGTTGGGTCTTTCTGTCCGGTCAGATCCAACAATTTATGAAAAAAAACTTGGGTTCATTACCCAACCACACCTAATATCTTTACATTTGGTGGAAAGTTAAACTCAAAAACATTAAGTCTTATTGGGTGGCAATGAAGCTAGACCCAGCAACACTTTTTTACTAAAAATCAATAAAAACAACGCCTCTTGGTACAATAGTATTTTTCACAATATAAATACTATATATTTATAATATGATCCACAGTATAAATATTTTATGTGCATAATTTTTTTTACTAGGTCTTGTTATAGAGTCAGATTCAATGTATGTTTTGCTTGGAGCGAACATTCTTCAAAATAATTTTAGGTCTGATTATGAGTGAGATCTAGTAACATTTTTTTATTGAAAAAACAGCTAAATCACATGGTACTATGATATTATTTATAGTATAAATATTTTATATCTATAATATTATTCACAGTATAATTAATTTATATTTGTAGTTCCTACATAGTGTTTTTCTCATGTCATAGAATAATGTATATAAAAAATATTATTGTTCTTCAATAATCCGATTATTACAGTATAAAAAATTGAAAACTTCAAATTCCAATGGAACAAGTAACATATATTTAATGGGTTTATTATTTAAACATCCAGCTTTTAATTGAAGAACAGTGCAACTGTTTTCCCATTTAAAAAGTTAACAACAAGTGCAACTTTACATATCTTATTACTTCAATCCACTTGGGTGGTTTAATAAACATGGGGGAATAGTTTTTTTATTTATTTATTGTGAAGGTATATTTATATAGCTTGCTTCTTAATTATACCAAGTTATTCTTTGAGAGGGTTTTAAAAAATACATTTTACATCAATAGATCTGGTATATTCATAAAAAGCTAATAAATTCTCCTGAGTTTTAATCTTTACATTTAAATTTAATAAATTGAGCAGATTCTTACACCAATCTCCTGTAATCCAAGGTATAGAATGAAAAGGAATTTTAATATTCAATTTTAAATGATAAAACATAAAAAAATCAATTATTAAAAAAATAGTTAAATAATACATTTATTTTGTTTTATTTATTAATAGTAGAATAATATTTTTAGCTTAATCTATATATAAACTCTTTGTATTTAGGTTAAATAATGTATTTTAAAAAATTAATTAAGGAGAATTCTAGGTTTTTTTATATTCATATTTATTTTATGTTAACCAGATTATTTTAACAAGAATAAAAAAAGTACCATTTTCTTATAAGTTTCTCCCTGGTGTTATAATAATTTATTTTATTTTTTCAATGAAAGGATAACAAACCTACCATTCTCTTCTTTCCTTATTCAAACTCACAATATATATATATATATATATATATATAGAGAGAGAGAGAGAGAGAGACATAAGCCAGACTAAATCGTTCAAATGAATTGAAAGAAAGGAATGACGAAGAAGTACACAAAACGATCGCTATTTAATTTTCTTTCTTTCCCTTTTTTTTCACTTTTTATTAACGCAAATTTAGCTTATCACTAGGTTGAGGTACGCGCTTTGCTATAGGTAATATCAGAACTCAGCTACTATATTAAAAAAATATGAATATTATTTTTATTTTTATTTTTATTTTTATTTTTATTTTTGAATGCAATAAATATTTGTAATAAAAATTAAAACTTATTTAGTATATCAAATAAAATTAATCAACTCATAAAAAAGATAAGGAAAAAAAAAGAGCAAATTAACATCAAAAGCAATGCTTAAAACACAACACTGCACACATCGTCATAAAAAAAAACAAAAACTGCAGATAAATTCAACCACACGAATAAAAGCTTATCATTAACAGCCAAACAATCCTGCATGCACCGGCCAAATGCTATGAAGTGCCTATACATGTCTCATCTATTTTTTTTTCTTAATATTTTTTATTTATTTAAAAAATAATTGTCCTCGAAATAACATAAATATATAAAAAAAAAAATATTTATTTAAAAAATAATTGTCCTCGAAATAACATAAATATAAAAAAAAATGAGATTGGCAAGATAATCATTAAAATGTGCAAATAAGAATAAAAATGACCTTGAATGGAAGTTTAATATTCTTTGTTTTTTAAGGGTAATTTAATAATTATATTATGCTATTTCTGTTTAATTTTATAATGATTAATAAACCATGTGCAAAGATTATAGTGCCCTTAAAAACAAGTTAATCGATTTTTTATTAGAAGAGTAAAAATGTTATAATATTATAGAGGTGAATGGTAAATTAAATCTATTACCATAGTGTTTTTCTTTTCGTTTTAGTCTTATTTACTGAAATTCATTTAACGGTACTATTCTAATCCTCTTATATGATTTATCGAGCATGTGATAACTTGTTATATATTTTAATTTTTTCGGAACAAATATTTTTAGATTTCTTCAACTGCTACAGGTTATACATGTGTAGATGACACATCCTGTCAATGCTTAATTAAGATTTCAAATATATATATATGAGAGTCAAGAAAATAAAATATTTTGAAAATAAGGAACATATATAGATGATGAATTGACTGAAGATGTCCCGTGCCTACGAAGTCCTTTTCTCGGAAGGTCAGGGCAGTAGAAAAAAGACGGAAGTAACAGCCCGCCTTACAAAGCAAGTTGAGTGTCTCAAGGGTTAACCAAGCATTAAGAAAAATCAAACACATGATGTAAGAGCTTTTAAAAATATAATTATAATTATTTTTTAAAATATTTTTTATTTCAAAAAATTATTGTTCTTAAAATATTTTTTATTTAAAAATAATTTATTGTTAACATCAATATAGTGAAATAATATAAAAAATATTAATTTAAAATAAATAAAAAATAATTTAATTTTTTTAAAATTACTTTTAAAATACTAAAACATACAAAAGCTCAATTACCTCCAAGAGTCAACGAGGCAATCTAGTCTGTTCAATATTAAATTATATCACTACATCTTTTCACTATTTTTGAATAAAATAACAATTATACAATTTTTGATACTTTTAAAACCCTCGTCGTCACTCTTAGCATCATATAGCATACTAATAATTTATTATTATAAGAAGATCGACCCGTTTATTATTGTT